GGATCACAGGGGTTCTACCAAGAAAGTTTGGGAACCATTGATATAAGCTACGATTATTTGCGTGATTTATGTTTGTATGTGGCTTCCATACTAATATGATTACATGTGAGACTTTGTAAGTCTTTGCAGAGAGAATATGGATTAAAACATGCGAGAAAATCAGCTTTTACTAGAAAAACAGAGCCAACCTTTTATCCTAACCCCATGACATATCTTTAAGCATGTTATTAAACAAACCGACAAAATATCCAGATAGGTCAACAGAGCAAACTGCTTTTACTTTGACTTCAAATCCTTGAGTAATACTTGGGTATTGCTACCAAAGTTTCATGCTTGCTTTCTACAACACACATTCTATGACACACATGCTTATCTACATTTAGATCCGCATAAAACAAGTTTACACCAACATGGGTTAGAATATAGGAGTGTGGGAACAGGGTGGGAAACTGTATGAACATAGCTGTAAGATGCATTAAGTTTATTTCTAATGTTGCAGTTCCTAGTGACACTATTTGTTCTTCCTATTGATTATCCTTTACTTTCCTTTTTCCTTATTTCATCATGCAAACTGTGTGTTTTCATATGTCAGCACTGTGTGTGTGACAGTTGGATGATGAATGCCCTGATGGCTTTGGGGTCAGTGTCACAGACAGTGTTGTCAATTGCACCTTCTCCCCTGAGTCTAACCTTGAGCAAAAGCCCCAGAAGAGAGCTCAATGTGCTTTTAAGGTCAAGTCATGCTCACACAGACACACATCCATTCCTTGCTGAGTCTGTGCCATTAGTAGCTGGTAAGGCCCGCTTTGACAAAGAGGGATTAGCTCTCTATCATGTGTATCGATCAGCTTGTCCTGGCTGGTTCTCCAGAGGAGGGGCTGGCGGGGTTTAACAAGGCATTGGGGACACAAACCAATACATGCAGACACAAACACACAGGCGCAGCCATGGAGATTATTGTTTATCTACACTATGTACAATTTTCTTTTCAAAGCTACTGTTCAGATTTCTCTGTAAAATTTATTTGGATATAAATTGCTGTTTAATCAAGATTTAAAGCATTTATTTATTTATTTTTTTTTACTTTTTTAGTGTTTCATCACAAAAAAAACATAATTTCTTTATGTCTGAGGCAAAACATTCTACCTCTACATTTGAAACAAGATGTTTACCAACATTTTATGAATTTTTTTTAAGCACAGTCGTTAAATTAGACTTTGCGGGTTTTTTTATCTGTGAGGTTTATAACATTGATATATAATTTGTATTGCTAAATTGCAGGGTAAGAAGTGTCTTCGTTTTTATCAGTAAATTTGTATACAATTTTGTACTATTTGGTTGAATTTCCTTTAGAATTGGATTTATTGGTCAAACTTTTTGCATATTATTCCAAAACCTTCTCACAACTGTAACCAGGAGTTTTGGCCCATTTCTCCTGTTAATGTCGATATGTATAAGTGGAGTTTGTAAGTGAAATCTGTCACATGATTTAGTTCTGCTTTTAAATTTTCTAAGGGATCAGAATGTTTTAAGATCCACTCCAAAAAATTGAATTTATTGTGCTTACACTATTTTATAACTTTTAAACTATGCAACTTAATTAGATTCATTATTCATCGGGAAGATCTGTATGTACCTACAGTTATAAAATTTTTAAACAAATGTATATTAGTGTTGCGCCGCTTTTTGGCCCCGATACCTGGCTGTGCAGTATTGGCCGATACCGATGCCATACCGATACTATCTGTTTGAAATTGATGTGTGTGTGTATTTGAAGAACTGCATACTACTTGGATGTAAAATAATTGCCATCATGGCTTTGTCAAGCTGCTGCCTACCTTTGTGAAGCAGGAAAAAGACTAATACAAAGTGAGTCCAGTAGAACTTTTTATTGCCTGCCTGGAATGGGTGACAATAGTTGAATACATTTTTGGCTCTCAAAATCGGTGCCCTATTTGTTGGTACTCGCCAATGCCGATACCACCATTTTAGTGCTGGATCGGGGGCTCATCCCGATACTGGTATCAGTGTCGATGCAACGCTAATGTATATATCTCAGTACAAATCTCTGATTAGTAGTTTAATCTCAAGAATAAAGTCAGAATTCTGCCAAAATTGCACATGCATAATAAATAGTGATACGAGCAGTTTTATTTAAAACACAAGCATCTAAATTACTCTCTATGTGTATTTTTAAAATTTTAATGAGTGTAGATTGAAACCCATGAGACCCCCAGTATGTCACAATCATGAGTTCATGCTCTTTCTCTGCGCTTTCTTACTTTTTATGTGCTTCTAGATTCCCTCTTACTCACGTGTTGACCTGTCTCTGTGCACTCATGTCAACTTTTTGCCACTTAGAGGGAGGAACAAGCTTGTAGAGGTACACTGCCTGTGATTAGCTGATGTTCAGCTTATCCTCCCTGTACCTTTTTTTTTTTTTTTTTAATGTGGCTACTACTAAAGTCAGAGAAGGCTGGACTTCATAGCCAAACTCTTCTAGTCCCCGTTATTTTCATGGACCTCCATGGAAGTCCATTTATACCGGGTCCTGGGAGAACGCACCACTGAAATTGAGCACAGCCTTTGTTTCTCCACAAATAGATTCATTACCTCATAGCTAAACATCTTTCACACAGTCACTGGAAACAGAAATTTAGATCAATCCAATTGCAGGCGGATTGAACTGTGTAGTGTGGTAAAATCCTGACTGAGATTTTACCACACTATGCGCTGGTCCTCATTAAAAGATGCTGTCTTACTTCGGACAAAACAATATAGCTTTTGCTCACTTACAGGAGCCAGTGTAACTGCTTTAAATGACAATCCAAAGAAATGAAATCTGGCTTTACGCTTTGGAAGGATATAGAAATGTGTAAAATGTGAGCGTATTGAAGTTTAACTCAGACATTACCAGCATAATTTTTAAACATTTTCTGTCATTTTTTCACAAAAGGTTATTAAAAGGGAATTATATGTCATTTAAAGGTATAAAGGAC